TTAGAATTGGTGCCAAAAAGGGTATGAAAAATTAAATTTATTTTCTGAATAAAAATTAAAAATTTGAAAAACTTATCGTTTACTTATAATTTAAAAACGAATCTAATCTATTAATTGGGAAGAAATACAAACTTAGAATTTCGGAATATATTTTTTTGTCTTGGAACCAAATAAAATTAACTATAACTAAATAACTAAATTTAAAGAAATTAAAAGAAAAAATAATAAGGATACAATAAGCAAATCTCTATTTATAAAGTATATTTTTCATAAGATTCTCCCTGGACATCATGCCTCTCAAAGCCCCACATACATTCCTAATAACAAGTATGGCAGCACGAAAGTCCTTAATATTTAATACGATAGCTTTTGATATCAGATACACTTGTATTTTATACCCTTCCTTTACGTATGTGTTTTGGTATAAAGTGGAAGGATTTTGCGTTTAAGATGAGAGCTGAGTTTTACGACGGTCGTTACGTTGAATCCGGCGGAATAGATAATATACAAAATGTTATGGCTTGGAATATGTGATGTTTAATCTGGAGTGGCCCGTAATCCGTAATAGGTCTACGTGTGTAATGTGAGGCGTAGGCTAAGCATACACATTCGCTTGAGTAGGATTATGTAATGTATATACATGGGTAGGAAGGTAATATAAATGTGTGCAGATTTGATGAGACTAATTAATCATTTAAGTGCTTTTGCAACCTTAGGATGTGCGGCTGTGGTAGGCGGAGGCATAAAGCACACACAGCAGCGGGATGACTGCGCTGTAGGAATAATACTCACTTTGCCTTTATAATAGTTTCAAGTAGGGTAGAGCGGGGCTAGTTGAGCATAGGGGCAAGTTGAGCAATCGAAATATCTTGAAAACCAATCACCGTCCGTTTAGGCATTATATGGCGGAACGATAGAGGTTTGGGAGAAATAAACATCCCGCGATCGCAAGTGGCCGCTGGACAAATGAGTGAGGCTCACGGGCGTTTTGTTTATTTTGAGACCAAAAACTAAAAAAGTAATTCATCACGAGTTTTCGTCTGGTTTAGTCAAATGTTATTTATTTTTAATCGGGTAAATGTTATTCTTCCATATAATTATAGTACATTTAATATGCACAGAGATTCTGGGTATAATTCTCACGTTTTTTTATAAACTCACTTTTATTTTGAAATTCCAAGTTGGGGTTAGTTGAGCATAGTTGCTAAAGTTGTTCTGTCACTAAGACAATTACCATTAACTTCCAGAAATTAATTATTATTTTTAAGACTTAAGCTAAGTCTATGAGTAATAATATAAAGAAATAATGATTTTAAACAAAAATACTTAATATATTGGTAAAATAATTCCTTTGATTGATTCTCCTTTCGTTAATTATTCAAAGCAAATTACTATAAGTTTTGTTTTCTCTGTCAATAAAGACTATAAATATAGAACTGGTTATTAAAAACTTATTTAATTTCATCATTAATCGACATTGAACCTATGATTTCATTATACTTTCTTAGTGCTCAACTTGCCCCACCTATGGGGTACATTAAGCATACTTGACTTTTTGCATTTAAACAGCTGTAGCTTTTAAATTTTACTTATTACCAAAAAATAGTATTATTAACTTCCCGTAGGGTAAGTTATTGTAATGGGCCGAAAATCGGAATTGAAAATTTTTACATTTCTCGACGTTTTGAAGGTTTCTGAACGTTTTGGCATACCTCAGAAAAAATGGATGTGTGTGTGTGTGTGTGTGTGTGTGTGTGTATGTATGTGTGGATACAAATTTCCAGTCACGTTTTAGGGCGCACGGATCAACCGATTTGAATGGTTCAAAAAACATTCGATTCCTATTGATTGGGAAAAGAGCTGATTAGTTTTTGACAAAGGCAGGTCCAGCCGTTTCGGAGATACGGAGCAAAGAGTGCAGAAAATAGAAATCGAATGTTTGAGCGAACGGAGTATCCGATTTGAATGATCTAAAAAACATTCAATTAGTAATGATTGGGAGAAGTGTTTATTAGTTTTTGGCAAAGGCAGGCCCAGCCATTTCGAAGATACGGAGCTAAATATGTAAAAAATGGCAGTTTTTGAGAGAACTAAGCGTCCGATTTAAATGATTCAAAGAACTTTCTGCTTGTCTTAACAAAATAATTGATTTTGAAAAAAAAATTTGTTCCAATTTTTTTTTTTTTTTTTTGTTTTTTTTTTTTTTTTTTTTTTGTTTAGTATTTTGTGTATCGAAAATATATTTCAGATTTTATTTTTAATTCTGACTATAGTTCTAATATACTTTAGAAATAATTTCAACTCTGCAATTCGGTTTATATAATTCTTATAAATATTACACAATATTACAATATTTATAATAATCTACTTGAAAACATTCAGTATATTCCTCGAACATTTCGTTACGGTGCGGGAAGTTCCAGCAATTTGCCTTAAGGCACGATGCCATAATTGCCTCAAGACAGAATTCCACTTACAGCTAGTTTTGTTAAGCAATAAGCAACAAATCTATTAAGCCGTATAGCAATTTATTGAGACTTTTCATTCAGGAGCTACATCCGTTTAAGTAAAAAATTTGCTCAACTAGCCCCGCCCTACCCTACATTCGCTTTATAACGTACAGTCTAACAAATTAGAAATAATTTAGATGAATAAAGTGCAAATTTAATATAAAGTAATAAACAATTTACTACAGAGAAGCTAGGAGCTTAAAGTATCAGATTCAAAGTAATTTTTTAAAGATTGTACGAAATAATAGTTACATTATTTAACCAACATGAAATACGAATTGTGAGGGAACATTTTGAACAAAAGGACTTCATGATAAGTGAAATCTTCAGGATCTTACGCTGAATATATTACAAATATCACCGATAAATTTTCAAATTTTATCCTGTTCTCAAAAGTCCTGCGCTTCTTTTTTGCTCATTCATGTGCGTCGCTCGCGCGTGTTTTTGACACCGACGGTGTAACGGAAACACTATAATTCAACATGGCAACTTGTTTCCGGTCAGACAAGTTTTGTTCGAAGGGTCAAACGATCGCACTTTTGGGTTTAGTTGTCCGTCCGCCTAGATCTATTTTTTGTTAAAAAATTCTAAGCTGGGCGTGCCATACATCACGAAAATCATCAAAAGCTTTGCAAATCGTGTGAGATTTCCGAGATGAAAATTAAATATTTGTGCAAAATGTGTATTGTTAATTGTATTTGTTATTAACTTTCCGTAGGGTAAGTTATTGAAATCGTTCAAAAATCGAAATTACAAATTTTTACATTTCTCGACGTTTTGAAGGTTTCTAAACATTTTGGCACACCTCAGAAAAAATTGATGTGTGTGTGAGCGTGTTTTGTGCGTCCGAATTTTTTCGATCACGTTTTCGGGCGCACGGATCAACCGATTTGAATGATTCAAAAAATATTCGATTCCTATTAATAGGGAGATGTGTTGATTAGTTTTTAGCAGAGGCGGGTCCAGTAGTTACAGAGATAAAAAGCAAAGAGTGCAGAAAAAAGAAATCGAGTTTTTGAGAGAACGGGGCATCCTATTTAAATGATCTAAAAAAAACAATCAATTAGTAATGATTGGGAGAAGTGGTTATTAGTTTTTGGCAAACGCAGGCCCAGCCATTTCAAAGATACAGAGCTAAATGTGCCAAAAATGGCAGTTTTTGAAAGAACTAAGCGTCCTATCTAAATGATTCAAAGAACTTTCTGCTTGTTTTAATAAAATAGTTGATTTTGAAAAAAAAGTTGTGTTTCAAAAAATAGTTTTTTCAATTATTTTTTAAAAAAAAATTTTTTTTTTGTATATCGAAAATAATTCAGATTTTATTTTTAATTCTGACTATAGTTCTAATATACTTTAAACAAATAATTTCAACTTTGCAATTTAATTTATATAATTCTTATAAATATTAGACAATGTTACAATATTTATAATAATCTATTTGAAAACATTCAATATTCCTCGAACATTATGGTACGGAAAGTTCCAGCAATTTGCCTTAAGACACGAGGCCATACACCTCACTAGTTTGTATTTGTATTGAGTGCACAAAAATTAAGAAAAATAAAGGGAATTGATATATGATAGTAAAAAATATGACATATATTTCTTTAAGACGATATGAAGTTTTTTTTCAACATAATATTTACAATTGTTCTACATGGACTCTCAGTGAATATTTGGCGATTATTAAACATTAGTATATAAATAGTTAAAAATGCTCAGTTGAATAAGAATACGAATTAGAATAAGAATTAGAATAAGAATTACAATGCCAAAGCAATAGCCTTGCCAAATAACGTTTTAGCCCATACTTTAATATTTCATATCGTAAAATTATACGTTTAACAATACGATTAGTAAGTGAGATATGCTTCAAATAATTTTTTTTTTGTTATTTGTCTCTATTGAGAACATTAAAAATCTAATTTATAATTTATCTATCTATTTAACAAAGAAATTGCCTAAATAAGAAGAAACTTCAAAGTATACCTGACTTTTATTTTTTGCGAGGATCATCTGACTGATGCAAGACAAGGTCAAAATTGGGATTGTCTCGGAAGACCGAACACGAAATAAAATATTCTTTTTTTTTTACAAAAAAAAGGCAAAGATAATAAGAGAAGAAGGCTGCGCAACATATGTCGTAACAATTTGCTTGTGACTTTTGGCAACATTCGATTCTTTGGTTGTGTTTGCGTGTTAAAAAGTTATATTGATATGCTTTATATTGTAAGAAGAATTGAAACAAGTTAATTAAAAACAAGGATAAATCTGTCTTTTGAAAGTAGGATCATAAGATAACTTAAATAATCTATTATTAATAATTTAAATCAAAAATAGTTGTAATATATTACTGTGTTTATAAACATACAGAGAGTCCCTAAATTAATCCAATATTTGTTCATCAAATTTTTCTATTTTTCTCATGACCCTGCGATCAACGTTACAGCTGATTAAATTTATATAATTACTTAATATTTATTGACTGACCTTTCCGTGTTCTTTATCAAAATCGCATTCTCTTTCGGTTTGCGTGTACCCGCCGCTTGAAAGTCCGGCGTTAAAAACCAACTGCAAATTCGTGCCAGTAGCGGCAAAGGCGATCTCCGTGCGTCCCTCGCGGCATCCGTTTTGGAAGCGAACTTGACGCTCTTCCTGAGGCCGATCGCGGAAGCCTGTGTATCTTATCTGTCGAGAAAAAAAATAGCATTTAGGAAGGAATCTTGCAACATATTTATCTAGTCATTTTGGATAAATTGGCGTTAATTGTTAGTTTCTAAAACAAATCGTTAATGTTGCTAGGGATAATGAATAATCAATTTATTACTTTCATTCAAAATCTAATTAGGTAAAAATTAATTATTGCAAAAAAAAACAACAGGAAACCACATAAGCTTTCGCTAACGGTATCGCACAAATATAACGCAATTAGTATTTCGGTAATGATATATGATTTTTTGTTCTGGTGTCATTACGACAACCTCTTGTCTTGATTACAAAAACCACGTCTAATTTGATATTTGTTTTTTAATGAATTAGAAGATAATAGTCATCGGTGTAGTTGAGAATACGTTGGACGATGCTGTAATAACTTTTTTTAATCAGAATAAAACTTTCTTCTTCGAGGAAATAATATTGTGGATAGATTTTGTTATAGAAGGAGAGCTGGGGGAAACTATTTGGCAATAAATTTTATGAACACGAGCATTATGAAACGCTTGGTTTAACGCTTGAAGTATTAATGATATACATTTTTTATACTTATTGTTAGTTAGACACTTCAAATTTTGTCCTTAAGGGGCACAACTAGTGTAACCACCTTAAAAAAAGGAAATTTTAGGGAATTTATATTAGAAAAACTTCTTTATTAGTTATTTCAAAATTTTAGGAATATATTTATACATGTTTTAAGAATACATAGTAAAAATTTTTAAGCAAAAAATTAAATATTTTTTAAGTTATCGTCGATCTCCAACGGCGCGACAAAAAAAAGGCCCTTCACAAAAAAAAAACAATTTTACCCAAAATTTCGGTCGTTTTTGGACTGCCATAACATATTTCGATACTATAACCTATCGAAATATGGAAAAATTGAAAATTCGATTTTTTGAAAATTTCACACTAGTTGTGCCCCTTAAAAATTGTTAAATCTTATCCTTCAATTGTTATTTATATCCTTAACTTGTACATTTTATCCTAGTAAAAATACTAGTCAATATTGAATTTTATGAAAATAAGCAATATGAAACATTTGATGTTGAAGAACTAAAGACAAACAGAGGCATATTTTTCCCCTTATTCTAATTGGTATACACTTCACAACTTTTCCTTAAAAATTTTGTATTAAAAATTGGATAATTAAAAAAATTAACGTCCCAAAATAATTTTGCAATTTAGTTTATTCTTGGTTACCTTAACTTTCTCTTTCGTTTCGAGTACAAGTTGTTCGAAAAGCCGAATATTATCTCAAATCATTATTACAGAGTATCCGTTCATAATTGATTTATTTTTGAATTATTGTGTATCTAGTATAAAACATATAAATAAAAAATGCTTGTGACACATCAAATGTAAGTATGCGTCATGTGTTGATTCGCGGTATAAAAGTTTGTACAATCACTCTGGTATTTCCTTTTCATAAGCATTTACATATAAATCTCGTTTATACATTTGAGCGCATCTCGACGTAGTAGTGCCTCTCTGTGTTTTCTTCAGTGGGTCAAACTTTAGTAATATAGGTAATATATTTTTTATATAGAAACTTCATTATTCAATGTTTTTTATTCATATACCTATTCAAAAGTCACACGAATCAGTTGTCATATTTATGTAGCCGATAATTGAAACTAGTGAGATGTATGGCGTCGTGACTTAAGGCAAATTGCTGGAACTTCCCGTACCGTAACGAAATGTTCGAGGAATATTGAATGTTTTCAGATAGATTATTATAAATATTGTAACATTGTCTAATATTTATAAAAATTATATAAACTGAATTGCAAAGTTGAAATTATTTGTTTAAAGTATATTAGAACTTTAGTCAGAATTGGAAACAAAATCTGAATTATTTTCTGAAAAAAAAATTGAAAATACAAATTTCCAGTCACGTTTTTTGGGCGCACGGATCAACCAATTTGAATGGTTCAAAAAACATTCGATTCCTATTGATAGGGAGATGAGCTAATTAGTTTTTTGGCAAAGGCAGGTCCAGCAGTTACGGAGATAAAGAGCAAAGAGTGCAGAAAATAGAAATCGAGTTTTTGAGAGAACGGATCATTCGATTGGAATGATCTAAAAAACATTCAATTAGTAATGGTTAGGAGATGTGTTTATTAGTTTTTGGCAAAGGCAGGCCCAGCCATTTCTAAGATACGGAGCTAAATGTGTAAAAAAATGGCAGTTTTTGAGAGAACTAAGCGTCCGATTTAAATGATTCAAAGAACTTTCTGCTTGTCTTAACAAAATAATTGATTTTTGGAAAAAAAACTTTTTTTCAATATTTTTTTCAAAAACAATTTTTTTGTATATCGAAAATAATTCAGATTTTATTTTGAATTCTGACTATAGTTCTAATATACTTTAAACAAATAATTTCAACTTTGCAATTCAGTTGCAATTTCTTTACGATACGGGAAGTTCCAGCAATTTGCCTTAAGGCGCGATGCCATACACTCCACTGGTTTTTATTTATAGTAAGCGAAAAAAGTGCAAATAAATTTATTCATTTATTCATTCAGCGAATATATATATTTCAATTCTTTCCATTTCCTATAAAAATGACTTTTTGTATTCCGAGCATAAAACATTTTTAATATTTCCCTTATTTTTTTCAATTAATGAATATTTCTCAAATTTATAATTAGGAGAAAATAAATATGGTAAAATACATTTAGCTCTAAATAAAGCGATTGTAAAATATACTTTTAATTAAAGTTAAATACATTTGTTTTGATAAATAAAACCTAAAATTGCGCCTGCAATTCCCAAATTTAGCATTATTTGTACGTATTTGGATAGCTTGTACATATTTATATCTATATTTATATATATATTATATATATATATATATATATATATATATATATATATATAATTACTTCTGTGTTAGGTAGAAATCCCCGTGAATGAGTGTTCCAGCTAATTGATATGCAAACAAGCAACTCGAAGCGTTTGAATAAAAATGCGTTGAAAAGATTTGTTTCAATATTATGTATATAAGCATTCTAAGAACGAATGACGAATTATAATTAATGAATTTTTATTTATTGACTTTCTCTT